AGGTCAAAAAATTTAGACTCAAAATATGAATCTAAAATTTTTGGTTTCAAAAGTTAGATTCAGAATCTGAATCTAAAATCTTGGATTTGGAGAGTTAGATTCAGAATCTGAATCTAAATCTTGGATTTGGAGAGTTAGATTCAGAATCTGAATCTAAAATCTTGGATTTGGAGAGTTAGATTCAGAATCTGAATCTAAAATTTTGGATTGGAAAAGTTAGATTCAAAATAAAAATCTAAAATCTTGGATTTGGAAAGTTAAATTGAGACTCAAAATCTAAAATTTGCATTTGTATAGATAAATTTAATACCAATAAAATAGCAAATAGTAATAGTTTTCAAAGCAAAAAATGTAAAACATAGTGATTGTAAATACTAGTTTTGATATATTTTCAAAACAATAGTTTTCAATAGTTTCAAAATAACATAAATTTCATTCAAGCACAATATATTTCTAATTGTTTATTTGATTTGCATGGCTGAGCAAAAAGCCACTGTGGCCTTCATTTTTTCACTGAAATTGTGAAATTGGATCAAAAGCCAATATGGCCCATCAGTTGTAAACTTGTATCAAAAGCCAATATGGCCCATCACAAAGCACATCCAAAAGCCAATGTGGCCTTTAGAATATATATATATATACATGCATACTAGTATATCTATTTACTATTATAGCCAGCCATTTATGCATCAGAAGAACATGCCAGAACCTGTAGAACATAAGCACTATATGAAGTGTTCTATCAATACTTTAAATCAAGCTGTAGCTACACCAATTATGTAATTTATACCAGCCATTTACAAACCAATTGAAGCCCAAAGAGGTGCCACAAACCAGCAGCCATGGCAGAGCAAGTGGATCCACAGGCCACCACCAGTGATACCAGTGCCACCTCCAGTGATTCCAGTGACACTGTTGTGTCCAACAAGACCATCAATGAATACCAATGGAGGCCAAAGGAGTTGGCCAGGATGAGTGCCAATGATGCAGATTGCACCTTGTCCACCAGTGAGGCCAGTGGTCACCAAGCCAATGATCCCATCAAGCTGGAGCAAGAACCTCCCATAGATATTCCATTTGAGCCTGCAAAGTCACCAGAGTATGATCCCTTTGCCACCATACCCAGCACACCAAAGCCAGATGAGGCCAGCATGTTCAGCAAACCAAAGCCAGATGAGGCCAGCTGCTGGCCCAAACCAGTGCTAGATGCAAGAGTCCAACCACCCAGCTTGTTTTTTGCCAAAAGGTCACCAATGGGCAATGTGGCACCACCACCAGAGCCAGTTTCACCAGCTTCCAACCAATTCCTGCAGAGCTCAAAGGCATACCCCAGAGCAGCAAGTGCAGCAGTGCCACCAGACCAATCTATGGCATCCAGTAGTGGCCCATGTGTGGGACAAGCCATGCCAGAGCCTTCTGACCAGCATGGCACCAAAAAAACTGGATGGAAGGCCAAGTTAGTCTTCTTCGCTGTCCTCTGGGATGCCAAAGATTGGGCCACCACAGATGCCATAGTCAGCAAATTCCAAGCTGATTTGGCAAAGCATCCATTGCAGCCAAACCAGGCATGGGGAAGGTCAGCCCAGCAATTGGTAGACCACTATGCTGCAGGCCATTGGGATGATGCGCAAAGCCTCTTGGAGACCATGAAGGCCAACCTCCACTTTGCCAGGGAATACACCAGAACCCAGAACATCATGAACCGCCATGGGTCTGATGCCAGAAGACCAGATTGGTTT